AGGGACACGGGGATGAAGGGATACAGGGACACGGGGATGGAGGGATACAGGGACACGGGGATGAAGGGATATAGGGACACGGGGATGGAGGGATACAGGGATGCAGGGATACAGGGATACAGGGACACGGGGATGGAGGGATACAGGGATACAGGGACACGGGGATGGAGGGATACAGGGACACGGGGATAGAGGGATACAGGGATACAGGTACACGGGAATGGAGGGAAATAGGGATACAGGGACACGGGGATGGAGGGATATAGGGATACAGGGACATGGGGATGGAGAGATAGGGATGCAGGGACACGGGGATGGAGGGTTATAGGAATACAGGGACACGGGGATGGAGAGATATAGGGACAGGGGGATGGAGGGATATAGGGAAACAGGGACATGGGGATAGAGGATACAGGGACACGGGGATACACAGGGACACGGGGATAGAGAGATAAAGGGACATGGGGATATACAGGGACATGGGGATAGAGGGACACGGGGGATAGAGGGACACAGCAATACAGGAACAGAGGGATACAGGGGAACAGAGAGATAGAGGGGTACAGGGATAGAGGGGAGCAAGGACACAGGGATGCAGAGAACAGGGATACGGGGAAACAGTGCTCCAGGGACAGAGGGACAAGGGGACATAAGAAAACAGACTCACAGAGGCAAACAGTCACTGAATCACAGAGATTCAGAGACACAGAGTCACAAAATCATAATCAATTGGGGTAGGAAAAGATCTCTGAAATCACCGAGTCCAAACTATGATCTAACACCACCATGTCAGCCAGACCATGGCACTCAGTACCATGTCCTGTCTTTCACAGAATCACAGAATATCCTGAGCTGGAAGGGACACGCAAGGATCATCCACTCCAACTCCTGGCCCTGCACAGGACATCCCAACAAACCCACCCTGTGCCTGGGAGTATCATCCTGAGCTCTGCCAGGCTTGGTGCTGTGCCCACTGCCCTGGGGAGCCTGTTCAGTGCCCAGCCACCCTCTGGGGGAAGAACCTTTTCCTGATATCAAACCTAAACCTGCCCTGACACAACTTCATGATGTTCCCTTGGATCTTGTCAGCTGGTCCCCACAGAGAAGAGATCAGTGCCTGCCCCTCCTCTTCCCCTCATGAGGAAGATGCAGACTGGGATGAGGTCTCCCCTTCACCATAATTGTGGCCCTCCTTTGGACACTCTGATAGCTTAATGTCTTTTTCATAAACACCTCCAGGAATGGTGACTCCACCACCTCCCTGTGCAGCCCATTCCAATGTCTAATCACCCTTCCCGTGGAGAAATTCTTCCTAAAGTCCAGCCTAAACCTCCCTTAGCACACCTTAAGACTATGTCCTCTCATCCTATCCCTTGTTCCCTGGGAGCAGAACCTGACCCCCACCTGGCTCCCCACTCCTGTCAGGGAGTTGTAGAGAGCCAGAAGGTCCCCCCTGAGCCACCTTTTCTCCAGGCTGAGCCCTCGCAGCTCCCTCAGCTGCTCCTCAAGGGACTTGTGCTCCAGACCCTTCCCCTTCCCTGCACTCACTCCAGCCCCTCAATGTCCTTGCTGCATTGAGGGGCCCAGAGCTGACCCCAGAATTGGAGGTGCCACCTCAGATTAGAGTGCCCAGCACAGGGGCACTGTGTGTTACTGTCGGTGCTGTTTTGTTTGATCAGCCTGAGCCCGACCGGGCACAGGCGCTGCCCACAAGGACACTGCCAGAGGTGTTTAGTCTGGGGACAGGTGCCAGAGGTGTTTTGGTGACACTCTTGTTGCAGATCAGACCACAGGAGGTGTTGCTTTTCCTTCCAAAAGCAGCGTGAGGGATGTCATTCCTGTCTGGATAGGCCAAGGCAGGCCTTGGGCTGCATTGTGTGACTGATAACAGTGGAAATTCAACAAGGCTGAAAGAGGTCTCAGACCATCTCTGCCTTGAATAATCTCTTTTTAAGAATGTTACTAGATGTCACAGCAACAAACAAGTCCTTCAGATGTGAAGATTTTATTAATGTTCACACAAGGACCCTCATAATGCAGAGTTTTTTCCCTCTTTTTTTCCTTTTCTCACATGAAGATTTGCAGTGCCCTTTTAAGACTTGCTTTCATTTGCTACAGTTATTTTTCATGGAAGTGACAGGTCTGGGCTTAAAAGGAAAATCCAGCAACTGCTCTACGTGTCCTGACAGGATTCTTTAATTAGGAAGAATAAATAGTGTGGGGTTACAGGCTCCTGTTTATGAACTGCTGAGGGCTGAAGGAAAGTGGGAAAAGATTAAAAGACCTACTGGAAAGTAAGAGAATTATAAGGCTTTTTTCCAAATTAATTAATGATGGAAATACTTGAATTTTGAGAAAGAAATGGATCTCTCTATCCTTTAAGATTTATTTATCCTTTTCCAAGGCTCTGTTTCCCCATCCCCGGAAGTGTTCAAGGTCAGGTTGGATGGGGCTTGGAGCAGGTGGAAGTGGTCTAGTGGGAGGTGTTCCTGCCCGTGGCAGGGAGTTTGGAACTGGGTGATCTTTAAGGTCCCTTCCAGCCCAAACCATTCTATGATTCGGAAAGCTTATGGCACATTGCCTCTATCCCTGTTGGCTTTGTGTCCTGCAGTTGCTCTGCAGATCTGCTTTTAGATGCCTGTATCTGCTCCACAGAGTTGTTCACATACACAGTTGTGTTCAAGGGTTTAATGGTTTTTTTGGTGTGTTTTCAGGCACCAAAGGACACTTGTGGGCCCGATGGAATTGCTTTGGCACAGGTTCACTGTCCTCAGGTAGTTTAAACAGAAGAAGCAAACAAATGTGTTGTCAGTGCAGGGCTGGCCCAAATTCTGTTCTCCTTTGCTATGTTGCAGCAGCAAGATTGAGAGTGTCAGAGCCACATGTGAGGGTGATGTCTGTGTGAAGAAGATCCGGGCCAGGAAGCACTGTTAGGGTGAAGATGATCTCAATTATCAAGAAAACACTGTATTTCCTACAATGAGGTTACAGGTCCCATGGGAAAAAGCCCCTCTTGTGCTCTCTGTAACATGCTGGTAATAACATTCTTTGTCCCACTTCCAATACCTGTTAAACCACCTCCAAACTCAGAAGTCCTGGTTGTAATGTTGATCTTAACAGTTCATGTCCGTAGCTGGGATCTGCTTGACCAAAGGCAGATGTGGGTGGGACAGACACCTCTGAATGAACCAAAGGCACTTTCCCCTTCACATCCATGGGGAGGAAAAGGCATTTCTGTGGTGGGGTTCAACTCATCCTGAGGTAGACTTCTAAAACAGGTCAGGGGAACTGTGCTTTGGAGGTGGCATCAGCCCAATAAATAAAGGGATTCTGACATTAATTAGTTCAACCCAGACCGATACCCTCACTGTCACCCTCTGAAGTGAGATGGGGCAGCCTGATCTAGTGGAAGGTGTACCTGCCCATGGCAAGGGGTGGGAACAAGTTGATATTTAAGGTCCCTTCCAACACAAACCATTCCATGATTCTATGATTCTGTGGTCAATACTGAGATGTTATCAGTCTGAGTGCCTACTGTGCCTAAGGTTGTCTCATTTCTTGTCTTTTTATTATGTCATTGGTGTTGTCGTTTATTATGACAACAGATGCTTTTAAAATGCACGTTGTCAACCAGAAGTCACACTTTGTTATCATTATTATTATTCTTCTTTTTTAATAACTTTAGACATTTCATTTGTTAGTTTTCCCCTCACTGCTGTCTGAACATCCAGCAGCCCTGAGCACTCTCATGCCATCACAAACCACACCTTCTGAAGTAGAGATGGGGCTCCAACACAGGCCTTGTTGTTTGTCACTCTTTGTTCAGTAACTCTGTGAAACCTTTCTATG